AAAGCGCCACATATTTTATTGTTCTCACGCTGCTGCTCAAACTCACAACTGTTGTTATGAAGTTCAGACTAATCACTGGGAGACAGAGTGCTCTAACCATCTGTTCAGAGCATTGTGCAACCCTGTTAAAAGATTTACCACATGTATATTCTTCTCCATTTAATATCACTTACCCTAAAAACACTCTAAGATATTTCATCTGTATCAAAATGTCATTGTGAATGTCAAAAAAAAACTATTTGAATGCTAACTGCCAAGGCCTGCCTTCCCCTTCCCCAACCCTGTGTCAAAAACCACAGACAGTGCTAAAAGATATTTGGGAAAACATAACATGGGAGTTCATTTTTCATCCTAGTTCTGCAACCTTGAGTACAGTCTCAATAGCGTCTCATAACAATGAATCAAGAGTTGACAGTGTTCCTTGTAAATACAGACTTCTATGAGTAATCGGATCAAAAATGACAAATACTTGAGGAACACATGACTTGGATAAACATGGCTTTGGACAATCAGCTTTAGCTAAGCGTGTTATAAAATAGGCATTCTGTACTGTGAAAGAACCACTCAGATCATCTGGAAATCAATAGCTGAGAAAAGGCAGAGATTATGATGACCAGCTACACAGAGCTGCAGGTTTGTCTAACACTCTAAACAGAGATGCTTTTCTCCCAGTACCTCTACCCACCATAAAGACACCCACAATGCTTTGCTCCTGTTGTTCTGTATGAGCTATGATGATCTGGTCATGCCGTAACAGAGTGACTTGATTCACAATGCATCCTTTATTAAACAGATTACTGTGTTTTTAGAGAACAGAACAGCTGCCTTGAAGCACCTCCAGAATGCCACTCACAAACTACAGAATCGATCAAATGTAAAAAAAAACAAACTGAAATTTCAGTCCTTGAGACTTCAGTGAAGGTACTCCTCTGCCATGATTTTATTTCTGTAACACTGGAGCTGTTTCAGGAGTGTCTGATTGGCAGTGCTGAGTTAAAATGACAGTTGCTCACTTCACAGTTGCTAGCAGGATATATGCTGAAGGGCTACATGAAGGACTTTCCTAACTTATCTGAAAAAGCTCCTATATAGACTTATGCATGTAAATCATTTGGCTGCTGCTTGCCTGAAAATCTTTTAGAATCTCAGATTAAAAACGAACCATTCAACCAATTTTCTATTATCAGTTCAGTCAATCAATCAATATTTATGAAGTGCCTACTCTTTGCCAGATACATGTTAAGCACAGTTTCATTTAGCCACTGAAGAGCTAGCAATGACCAACTCAAATTCTCTGTAATTCCTCCTATGTCTAATGGCAATGTGATATAGGAGACAGAAAGCCAGTATTGAAATCAAGAACATTTTTCAAGTGGTACCTCTGTCAACAGTATTCTCTTTGTGACTATGGGCAAGTCACTTAATTTCTCCGTCTCATAGGCTACTATCTAAGACTCTAAACTACTCATAGGTCTGCCTGAATCAAGTTTCTCTCCACTCCCATCCTTCTTGCATTCTTCCACCAAAGTGATTTTCCTAAAGCACGGGTCTGACCATGTTACCAAGTCATAGCTCCGGTGAAGAAATTCCAGCGGTTCCCTCTCACTTCCAGGATCAAACAGAAAAGTCTTCCATTTGAACTTCAAAGCCAAGACCTAGCACCCTTCCCCCAACTTTCTAAACTTCTAATACGTTATTTCTTGCCATGTATTATTTGATCCATTGATATTGGCTTCCTTACTGATCCTTGAACAAAACACTCCTGAATATTCTGGACATTTTCTCTAGCTGTCTCCCTGCCTGGAATGTTCTCCCTCCTCATCTCTGCCCCCTGATTTACCTGGTTTCCTTCAAGTCCTAAAATTCTATCTTCTATCTCTTCTATTCTAGCTTCTAACATGAAGCCTTTCCCAATTTCTCTTAATTCCAATGCTTTCCCTCTATTAATTATTTCCTAGTTATCCTGTATATATTTGTTTGTACACGTTTGCTTGCTGTCTCTCCCCATAGATTGAGTTCCTTGAGGGCAGGCACTATCCTTTGCCTATTTTTGCATAGTGCCTGGCACAAAGTAGGCCTTTTAATAAATGCTTATTGACTAACCGACTGATTGACTTGAGTGGAAGGAGTTTCCATACCAGGAACTTAACACACCTGTGAAATGACAAATCATAAGTGCCTATTGTGTGCTAAGCACTTTGCTAGATATTAGAGATAAAAAAATAAATACGGTATGCAATATCCCTTGCCTTTAAGGAACTTACACTCTATTGAAAAGAGAAAGTATGCCTTCCCCCTTGCATCTGATACCCGCCCAGATAACCAGCCTTTCAATAAGCTCAAACTAAAAAGCCCAGTTTTTCATATTAGCAGCTACTGGAACTTGGGGGAAGCCAAGATGACTCCAGAAGTGGGGATTAAGTGGGCATTGCCATAGGAAAGAAGAAGCCTTTGCACAGATTCCTATTATAGCACTAATTGGTAAATTAAATGGCCCTTAGCACTTAAGCACTTCCAGAAGGAGACTATAAAATACAACCATGTGGATTTGTTTATTTTTGAACCACTAGGGTTCTGTCACATACCTTTTTTTAATGTGTGAGAAAATTAACATATACAGCATTTGACCAACTTAAAATCACAGAGAAGGTTCTTTTCCCATTCATCCAATGGCAAATCTAGTGCAATTGCTTCTTAACAGCACCTTCCTTCCCATTGCCAAATTTCAGTCTATTGTCTATTCTTTGACATGAAATGCTACCTTATTATTCCTGTCAACACTAAATCTGTCAGGAGGTTCGTTTTTAATGCGGCATATTTTCATTCTCTGAATCTCATCTCCAACCATAAAAGCTCCCAGGAAATAGAAAAGAAAAGGAAATAAGATGTTACCTAAAGAAGCAGAAAAAATTATTCCCAGACCCACTGCTATTTTTAAACAGTGACACCAGCTTTTGGTTCAGATTTCACAATCTAGTGGGAGTGAGTAGGAGCAAGAATTCAAACTCTAGGTGGTCTCTGTAGCAAATGCCAGTAAGTCAAGGTTTAGACGTGGAAGACTGCTTAAATCACTACATTGGTTAAAATTTTGAAAAAGGTGGTAACCATATTTTCAAATAATACAAATGCCCTCCAACTCTTCTCCAAACCAAACTGCTTCCTAAACAATATGATGGATGCGCCTTCATTTTTCCGACTGGTTCAGTGAAGATTATAGGTGTCCTTTCTCACAGGAACATTTTATTGTTAATATAAGGGTACTAGATCCTAGATTGTGCAGTTATAGAGATGGTATAGTGCTGGATCCGGAGTCAGGATGACCTAAATTCAAATCCCACATGTAATACTTCCTACCTATGAGACTATGGACAAGTCATGTAGCCTTTTCATCAGTTTCATCATCTTTAAAATAGGAATAAATAATACCTCATATGGACAGCTAGGTGGTGCAATGGATTAGAGCACCGGACTTGGAATCAGAAAGACTTATCTTCCTGAGTTCAAATCTGGCCTCAGAAATTTACTAGCTGTGTGACCCTGGGCAAGTCACTCAACCATGTTTGCTTCAGTTTCCTCATCTGTAAAATGAGCTAGAGAAGGAAATGGCAAACCATTCTAGTATCTTTGCCAAGAAAACCAAATGGGGTCGCAAAAAGTCAAACCAACTGAAGCGACTCACCACCAAAAACAAAAAATATCTTTAGTATCACCCTCATGAGGTTGTTACAAGGATCAAATGAAATAAAGTATTTAAGAGTCTTTTGCAATCTTTAACATGCTATAAAAATATTAACTATTTTTGGAAGGTGGCTATCATTATGACTCACTACTAGTCCCAAGGGGACTGTTGATGATATGTCCACTCCCTTTCCCAAAGGAACACCTCTGTTCTAGAGCAATATAGAACAACCCACGTAATTCAGACCAGATTCAGTCCTTTGGAAATTCTTCCACTAATGTTTTTGGGGGCTTGCCTCCTTTTTCTCACACTCTTTGACTACTTAAGTCTCCCCACCCCAGGTACCTGGAGAAAAAAATGCTGAAGGCTTGAGTTGTTGGTTCATGTCTAGATCTCTCCAAGGCACAGGGAAAAGGGCACTTAAAATAAATGTAAACCAGGTATGTTGTTGCTGCTGTATAGGACAGGTAGCATTTCCTACACATTAAAAAAAAAATACTAGACTCTCACAAACACCCGCTGACACCACTTTAAAAAATGATTCGGTAACATAACTATTGTTACAATCTGCTCAGAGGGTACTTAAACCTCAACAGAAATTAGATCATTTGCAGAAAGGACTCTTGATTAGATGGTTTATATTTTCTCAGCTTTGCACTGTCACCCCCCCCAAAAAAAATATATATGTCTTCTGGAAAACCAGGTCAGGATTTTCATCACTTCTCCTGTCAGTAGTCATCTTCTCTGATGAGAAATTCCCCTTGCTGCCAGTCAGCTTAACTCAGTGAACCTCAGCCTGCCCTCCAGACTTCTCATATTCATAACGTCTCTCCAAAGTTGGACACGTCCACCTTGAGGTTGACACTTAGTGACTTCCTGACTTCACGCTGGGTACTTTGTCCACTGCAGCATCTATCTGCCTGGAGTCAAGACTATTTGCAGCTGTTCGGTCATTTCAGTCGTGTCCGACTCTTCATGATCCCATTTGGGGTTTCCTTGGTAAAGATGCTAGAATGGTTTGCAATTTCCTACTCCAGCTCATTTTATAGATAATTAACTGAGGCAAACAGGGTTAGGTGACTTGCCCAGGGTCACACAGCTAGTAAATGTCTGAGGCCAGATTTGAACTCAGGAAGAAGAATCTTCCTGACTTCAGACTTGACACTCCATCCACCTAGGTGCCCTTGGCACAAAGTCAGTGCTTAATAAATGCTGGTTGATTGAGTAATTGAGAATACTTATCCATGAAACATAATCATTTTATTCAATAGGACTCCACCTGGAGATATGGCAAATGTCTGTGACCCATCAGAGTATATTCTTTGTGTTTACCAGGCTGCTACCCACCACCGATTTGGTAAGTGTCTTCCTGAGGCTCCTTTCCCACCTCCCCCTACCTCCTGACTCTGAGTCACCCTGTGATTCTTCCACACAGAGTGGGAATTCTTTTTCTGGACTCTCACAGGCAAAGGTGAAGTCATTCCCTTCTTGGCACATTTGCTTGACGCAAAGCTGGATATGAAATAAGATTTCATTGTTATTTTCTCACCTCAGAAGGGACATTTTAAGGAGGAAAAGAGCTGCTGTTCATCTAACATAAAGCAGTGGGATAGTGTTGTCCTTTTGGCTCCTCAGTGACTCTGGGAGAGCAGAAACAGAGGTCAGAGAAATAAGGCACTTTCTGGCTAATCTGGATTTCAAATGCCAAGTCCTACAGTCAAGCAAAATAGAACTCAATGAAGGGATTATGGTCATTAACTTTCACTGGTCCAGGGAGGTTCAATGACTTGCCCAAGGTGACACAGGTACTAGCAGAAGCAGGATTTGAATCTAGGTTCTCTGATTCCAGAGGCAGTATCCTTTCCATTATCCCACCTAGCTTCCAACTCCATCCACCACAACACACTGTCTCTGATTATTTCAGACTCTGTGGACCTGGCCCTCGTTGTGAGCATGTCTACAGAAAATGTACCAAGTGTATTAAGCTGAATATTCAGAACATGAATAATTTGTTCCTTGTAACTGACAGTGTAGGGGTGGCCTCCAAAGAAAGATATTTGCCTGTACTAAACCCCATTTGCACATTACTAATGTGAGGGTATTTATGCACAGGTTTGTTATTGTTTTACAAAGGGGCAAAGTAATGAAATTTCTCATTACCATGCAATAATTCACTAATTCAAAAGAGTAGGAATGACTTTGGAAACACAAATTAAAATTGAAAATCTCTTCAGGCATCAATCCTTGACTCAATACACGCTTCCATTAAAAACATGATAAAGCTCACTGATTGTAGCCTTGGAGCAGACAATAGGAATGTCTTTCAAAACCAAATGGCCTGATCTGAAGCCTTACTTGAAATGAAAAGGTTACACTGCTGATCTGGAATGTCCACCAGGGTCTTCACATCTGATGTGCTGATAAGGCACATCTTGAAATAATCAGAACCTTGGGTGAAAAATCACTTCCTTAAGCTTCAGTTTCCTCATGTGTTAAATGAAGGCACCAGCCTAGGACATTTCTAAAGCCTTTCCAGCTCTGAAAGTTTGTATAATATATGAGATTCTATGAATACCAAACTTGGGAACTTAGCAGGGTCTGAAACTCAGAGTGTTCTGAGCTGCTTAGTCAGGTTCTCAGAGAATTGTTTAAGGTCGGGAATAGTATAGCCAAACTACAAATATATTTAGAGGCAAAAGGAACCTTAGAAGTCATTGGGTCCAACTCCCTCATTTTCAAGATAAGGAAACTGAGTCATAAAGTTACAATAACTTGCCCCAGGTCACACCGAACAGACAAGACTGAATATCAAATTATCAGAATAGAGTCAAAAACATCGATCTCAGGGCCTGAGATAAAGCTAGAATCAAAGCTGTGATTACTAGACACTTTGAAAGGGGAAGAGAGGGTTACACTGGAGTTCATGCTCACAGGTTGGGCCTGGGTAAAGTTGGAGAAACATACTGTGACTGGATAATGCTGGAGAAACAAGTGGTGACTGGGTAATATTGATGATAGTGACCAGAGCGTACCTGGCAGTGACTTTTCAATTTGGACCTTTCTCACAGGCTAACCCTTATTAGACCAACCCACTTTCTTCACCATGTATGCTTACAGAAGTTGTACTTTAGAAAATTCCCAGCTATGGTTTTCTACAAGTTGAACAGAGCCTCATTCTACAAATTGGTGTTTACTGTACCAAGTAATACAGTTCAGAATGTCACTTAAATGCCTAGGAACAAATTAATGGTATGATTTACAGTGATGAGGCCCATGACATACTAGTCTATATCATGTTAATAGAGCTATTTTGCTTCCTATTGCCAAAATAAATCATAGAGCTAATTGGCACATTGTGTCTGAAATGTCTTGCTTCACTAATCCACAACAACATCATTTGTTCCTAGAATTCTTCATTTGGGGATTTCCTTGATGATTTAGGTCCATCCAGACCACAATATTGTACTCCTCTGCCAGGAAGGGTTTTCCATTTGGGGATTAGTAGTTACATCAAAACCATGCGCCAGGTGACTCCCCCTCTTTTAGCTCACATTTGTGTGTTCCTTCCTCCATCCAAACGTAAGCTCCCTGAGGGCAGGGACTATCTTTCTTTTGGCTTCTATTTGTATCACCTGCACTTAGCACAGTGCCTGGCACTTGGAAAAATGCTTAATAACTTTGAGTTTACTTCCTTCTTTCCTTTCTTTCTCCCACATCCTGATGATCTGCCCTCCATCAAGTAGCTAAGTTAGATCCAAAAGCACTCCAGTAAAGGTACTATGAAAGCACTGCTCACCAGTACAGACAGCACATATCACCATTCCCTTCTCCAGTTTCTCCAGCTGGCTTCAGGGCAGTAAACTTTCCAAACTGTTCAAATCAGCGAGAACTGTTGATTCATAGGTGTTACAATGACAGCTATTTCCATTGCTCATTTCCAATAATTCTCCTTAGTCAGCTCTTCTGAATTACTGGGGTATTAAATCAACACAGGAGCAAATGACGGGCCCCACTGCTTATTCTGTGTATCTGGGTAGGTTTTGGAGCCGTCAGTGCTATGGACTGCTGAGATCAGGCCTGTCACATAGCTTCACCTTGGAAGAATGAAGCTTCAGTAGTTCATATGCTCACTTCCAGAATTGGCTATGTCCCTTCCCTGCTCATTCAGGATTGATTTTATGATGTTACTTCCAGGTTAATGCCATGAAAGCTTCACTTTTCTTGTGAGCTCCTCTCTGCCTATTTAGCAATTTAGCAAGTTAAAGTGAAAGGCCATGGCAGACACAAATAAATGTCATCACACCATGCTGTTAATTCTTTGGTCTACCAAGGCAGGCACAGTGCAGCATTTTAAAACAATGAATATTTCTAAATGGAACATCAAGGACATGCTGTTTTGTCATTTCTTTGAGAACTGTAGCTAATCATTAGCATATCTATCTCTTCTCCATATGGGTTCCATTCATTTGAAAACACTTTCTCAGTTCTATCCCCTACCTTAGGGCCAAGCACTACAGAATGTTCCATATGACAGCCTTACCATGTCAGTGGCAAAAGTCAGGAAATCAATGGCCACAACTAGGGTCTGGTCAGTCCATCCATTTCTGCCAGCTGAAAAGAGCAGTATGAATCACTACAGTTGAATTCTTCCTTGTAGAAACTGCATTGATAATTAAAATAAGAAAGAAAGAAAGAAAGAAAGAAAGAAAGAAAGAAAGAAAGAAAGAAAGAAAGAAAGAAAGAAAGAAAGAAAGAAAGAAAGAAAGAAAGAAGAGGAAAGGAAGAGGAAGGAAGGAAGGAAGGAAGGAAGGAAGGAAGGAAGGAAGGAAGGAAGGAAGGGGAAGAATTCTGTACTTCAATCAGAGTATAGCACAGTGTCTTGTACCTCATTTTTTTTTTAGTGGCCCAGATCTATGATTTGTTTTTTTTTTTTTACTATAGAACTCCCATTGTTGAAACTACCTCAATTGATGCAGATCAGCAATCTACCCACCACTTAAAGATTTTAAGACTTATTAAGGGTATTGCGAGGATAAGGGCCACACCTGGGATCACACAGTTCCAGGAAGGGAATTTTTGCTTTGGGAATTTTTTTCCTTGTTTGTCTTCATCGTCATAATTTATTCATTTGATTTCGCCTTTAAGTTACAGCACACATGTCCAGGGATTGTGTGGTGACATTGTTTGATAAACTAATTTTTTTTGGGGGGGGGTGAAACAATCAGGGTTATGTGACTTGCCCAAGGTTACACAGCTAGTAAGTGTCAAGTGTCTGAGGTCACATTTGAACTCAGGTCCTTTTGACTCCAGGACCAATGCTCTATCCACTGTCCCACCTAGCCACATCTTTAATACACCAATTTTGGTAGTTTACATTTAAAATGCCATGATGTAGGAACTCAAGCATTTCCCCTTTACCACAGAGGAAACTAGAGCTTGGAGAAATGAGGCAGCTTGGCCAAAGTTCTACAGCAGATCCTAGGACCCAAACTTAATAATCTTTTGGCTTTTAATCTTTTGTCACCAAGTTTTCGTGGCAACTTAATATAATATTTTCTCATAGTTTTGTAATATAAATATAACAAACATTAATATAGATATGATGTTATAGTTTTCCTGACTACTTAATATAATTTCTCATTGTTTTGTAATATAAATATAATAGTTTTTGTGACTACTTAATTTAATAATTTCTAATAGCATAAATATTTATCAAGGTTGATTTTTTTTTTAATTTACATTCCTGCTTTGAGAGAAAACATTTCTGGTTCTAGATTCTCTTGGGAAGATAGAATTTGGAAGACAGATATGTTTGCCTCCTTAGAGACTTCAGGAAATTTCCTCTTGGGTAAAATAAAGGCCTGCCTCATCTCCACCACATCTAAAGAGCTCATTCTCTGTCTTGTATTTTTTACATATTCTCATCTGCGGAACTTCTCCAATTTCTGGTTGCTCTCTACTTGGATAAATGGGTTATTGTCAGAAGTCTCAACCATTTTACTTCCTTCCTTCCCAGCACACTCTTTTTTCAGTCTGTACCAACTGTATACTGATTGCCTCTCCCACCTCCCTAGGCGCACTTTCCCATCCCCATCCTCTCTAGCATGAGTGGGCACAGCCATGATGCTCATACTCCCTGACTGGCTCATACTCCCTCTGGCCTGCTCCACCTCCAAACTATGTTCCTGGTCCTCTAGGCATGATCATACTCTCCCCATCCCAGTGTTATGCTTGAAAATTGAGGTAAACTGATAAACAAAGGTCCAAGCATGATCAATTTATTAGTTAGGCTAGCAGTAACTGATAAATTGGGTCAATGGTCTTTCTCGATGACCAAAGACCATAAGATTATTAGAT